GCTTTTTTTTAATTGACAAATATAAATATGTATAGATCGAAAATAGAATATAATTACTTTGAGCGTACCTAGGCTTATAAAACAAACACTACAAAGATCTAATGACCGAAAGCAAGAAGTTCAAAATGAATCAAGAACATGAACTTTAATTACTTGCAACAATTTTGACTGATCAAGCTAAATCATGAAGTGCCGAATCTCGTTGCTAACTTCTTGAACATAGTTGTAACCGAGTATTGAGTGTTCGAACACCTTACAAGTTGAGCAAAACTTCAACTCATGTTCGTAAAATATTTGTTGCTTTCTAGACTTATCGGATGGCATTTTCATATAAATGTATTGAACCAATTCTTTGAGTGCATCAACCTCAACAAGAACTCAAGCATAAGATATTATATCCTTAGTTGACTAGTAGCTTTAGAAGAAATAATTTCATTTTCCTTAACATTTGCTAGATCGGTTGAGGTTTTAGAAACCTTCATCTCGACTTCGAAATTCTGCTTCACTTGAATATGAGCATACTGTTAGTAGTTTTTCTTCCTTTCCATCGAGCAATGGAGAGAAAATCGAACTCAAAATACGCTTTGAAAAGTAGAACTATAGAATGATCAAACTGAAACTAAATAACTTAACTGAAAAACTTGAATTCTTGCTAAGAATTTAAAATTATGTCTATGTTGCATGTAATTTCTGGGAATTTACTTAACATGTACAACAGAATATAAATAAAATTTTCAATTCCCACCAAAGATCTGCTTTGTGGTTAGAGAGAAATTATGATAAAGATTATACCTTTTGTAAATTCTGTAAACTCATTTGGTAATCTTGGAGTACGAACAATCACAATCTGTAATCCACAACTATCCAATTGTCCAACCTTCAATGGAAATCCACACAGGGAACAAGAATGAGAGAATTAGAGTTTTTCTTTTCTTGTGCTAGCAAGATAAATGAATTATCGTCTTTCTCTTCTTTTTTTCCCGAAACCTTAATAACTTATTAATTTAAGTCCAAGTGGTTTGGCCCGTCTCTTAAACTTAATCCGGTTCAATATTTAATTAATCCATTTAATCAAATTTGGTCCATGAATTAATTAATACAATTAATTAATTCGAGCATATTAACAATTAATTAATCCATTGTTTCTAATTTGCTGTATTGTTCAGTTTCTCCCTCCGATCATACACCACAGTAGTGCTACTCTACTAGCCCCTCTTACACTACACAACAAAAGACCTAATAATTCTTCATCTTCATCGTCCATGAATCATGGTAAATGCGTCACCATTGACTTTCCTTCTGCCGCTACTGATTCGGTTAAGCACTGTTGATCCCAAGCTATGGACCCTTCTATTTCCGGTGAAAAAGAACATGAATCCGAGAAAGAGCAGTTAAAGGCTCCTGTTATTGAAGAAGGTGATTTAATTGGGCTTAGACTTCTGGGTTTGCTTCTACAATGTGGAGAGTGTGTCGCGATGGACAATCTAGACGACGCTGGCCAGCTACTACCGGAGATTGCAGAGCTTTCTTCTCCCTTTGGTTCATTAGCGCAATGCGTCGGGGTATCCTTCGCAGACGCACTGTCGTCTCGAATTATCAGCTCCTACTTGGGTATTTACTCATCCCTCACCATACTCTACAAAACCCACCAAGAAAAGCTACTCAATGCCCTCCAAATCTACAATTCACTAAGCCCTTTGATCAATTTTTTACATTTCACAGCCAGTCAAGCTTTCCAAGAGGCACTGGATNTTACTAGCTTCAAGTTGTTTATTGATCTCAATATGTAAGTCATGAAGGTGTTGTGCAAATGCTTCAGTTGACATAGACACTCTAGCACATGGAGACATCAGAATGAGATCTAAAGGCTTCTTAGGCTTAAAACCATGAACTTCAAATGGACTTATACCTAACGATCGATTCATGGAACTGTTATTTGCAATTTGAACTGTAGGAAGAATCAAATCCCAATTTCTAATATTTTCTTAGACTAGACATCTTAATAAATTACCAAGACTACAGTTAACCACTTCCATTTGACTATAAGTCTGCGGGTGATAGGCAGTAGAAAATTTCAATTTCGTACCAACATTTTGCCACATTGTTCTCCAAAAGTGACTAGTGAACTGAACATCCCTATCTGACACAATGGTTTTAGGAAGACCATATAATTTGACAATTTTATTAAAATATAATGTGGCAACCTTGGACACATCTGAGGTTTTACTACAAGGAATAAAATGAGCCATTTTCGAGAAACGATCAACTACCACAAAAATAGAATCATGCTTCTTTGAGGTACGTGGAAGTCATAGCATAAAATCCATACTCACATCTTGCCAAGGGCAATCAGGAAAGGGAAAAGATGTGTACAGACCAGTGTTTTGCCTCTTCTGTTGGCAACTGACAGATGTTACATGTACTAATTACTTTAGCCACATCTTTCTTCAAACTAGGCCAATAGAATTGAACGTTCAATCTCCTCTATGTGGTCTTATCACGCCCGAAGTGACCTACTAAGTCCCCCGCCTGAATTTTCCATACTATGAAATCCCACACTGAAGTTCGAGGGATGCACAATTTATTGGGTCGAAAAAGGTAACCCTCCTCAAGGCGAAAGCCATTCGCAGTATCCGACCATCTTCTTTGCAAATCAAGAAAGATATCCTTAAAATCGGGACATATCTCGTAATCTTCCTTAAGTCAATTAAAACCTATGACCTTGACGCTTATAACCAACAAAAGGGAGACACGACGACTTAATGCATTGGCCGCCTGGTTCTCAACACCTTCTTTATGTTTCAAAACAAAAGAATAGGCCTACAAATATTCAATCCAGTGACCATGCCTAGAATTCAACCTTTTCTGGGCAGTGAGATGACGAAGGGCCTCATGGTCCGAATAAAGAATAAACTCTTAGGGTAGTAAATAATGCTGCCCATAGCGCAAAGCCTATACAAATGCATGTAATTTCTTATCATAAGTCGAGTACCGTTATTTAACATCATTTAACTTCTCACTGTAATAAACGACATGGTGGCTTTCTTGACTAAGGACTCCACTTATTCCTACCCTGAAGGCATCATACTTTACCTCAAAAACTTTGGCGAAGTCAGGAAGGCGCATGACAGGAGCTTCAGTTATTCACATCTTGACTAGCTTATATGCCTTAGTCGCTTCTTATGTCCAATGAAACTCTCATTTCTTCATACACTCCGTAATAAGAGCCATGATTGTGCTAAACCCCTTGATAAAGCGATGGAAAAAGATAGCTAGGCCATGTATAGTTAGGGATGGCAAAGGGCCAAGTCGGGACAACCATTCTCGCCCTGCTCCATCCCCACCCTGTTACCTGTTTAAGGCGGGACGGGCGAGGAGAGGCCATTGCCCCGTCCACTACCCCGTTTAATTTTTTTTAAAATTTTTGATAATTCATTTTATTGCTCCCATTCATTAGAGTGAGAATAATAAATTTTTTAATCTTCATTTATTTTTAAAAGTTGAATTATTTAAATATAGTTGGTAAACTAAGGTTTTTTTGCCATCCCTATATATAGTCTTAAGTTCAGGACAATCAACAATTGTCTGAATCGAGGCAGGGTCAGTAGATACCCCCGTAGAGGATACAATGAATCCTAGGAAGATGGCTTTTTTTTAATTGACAAATATAA